ATAGGACCTGTGCTTTACCTAGAGACTCTGGCAGGGGCTTCCTCACACCATCTTATCTGCACTGTCCTCTTTCCCCGGGAGGTCTTCTCGTCTGGATTTTCTTTTTTCTTGTTTTCCCCTATTTTTGAGAACTGTTCTCCAGCCTTGTTGACAAATGGCACTCAATCTTGTCTTTTCAATGCTACCGTAGTCTTACTATCACAGAGAATTTTCATCTGGGTGTACCTTCCACCTTTGCCCGGACTGACATTTGCTCTTCATAATGTCTTTTTTAAAAGCCTTTCTGGGCAGGGCCACCTTTCTTCTTAGGTCAACACCAAGCTGGTGCATTGCATGTTTTTGAATGGTGCTGAATATTTCTCCACACCTGAGTGGGACCCAGAGAGCCATTCACAGTCACACAAGCCCAGATAGACAAAAGGGACCCTTAGGACCAGTGAGAGGTGCTTTTCTCCACCAACAGCTAGGTAAATGAAGCCTGCCATTTTTGCATACCACAGCCTCACAACCCTTCCCAAGGGGGTGTGGGGAGGCCGCTGTGTTCTGCCACCAAGAGAGGAAACACTGGCAGTTTTGATACCAATGCCATAAAGAATCAATGCACAGCCATGGGGTAGAGGAGGACATAAGGCGTCCTTTTGTTCCGTGGCAATTAGTGCATTCCGGTAGAGCCAGTTCTGGGCAGGGGGCAGAGGGAGTAGCCACAAAATGGCCTTTGTCTGGACTCCCATAAAAAAATTCCAACCAGTGGGAGTGAACACACGCAGAGTCCACAGAGTCGATTGTAGATGTCCCAGATCTTGGCTGTTACAGTGAAATAATTCCAGGAATTCATGGACCGGGGTCTATAGGAGAAAAACAAATCCTTCTCCAAGAAAAGGTGCCACTTTCAAAAGAGTTAATTTTGTTATTAAGGACTTACTGCTATAAGACATTTTTTTCCTCTTCATCTCACCCCCATATGTACTCCCAGTTCCCTCATCCACACATAGAAATGTGTATTTGGCCATTTGGGTCTATGGTTAAATCGTCTGAAAACGGTTTTACAGCTTTGGAATTATAGATAAACATGTAAAACTTGCTCTCTAGGCAGGTATATTTATCCTCATTTTAGAAGTGGCAAAGTGAAGGCCCAAGAGTTAACTGGATAGAGTCAACCAGCAGCAGTGAAATTCAAACCCAGATCTGTCTACCTGTATTATTCGGGTACCTTATCAACCATACAAGAGCCCTGTGCTAACGGGAAATACTGGCAAAATGGTGAGACTGCCCAGGTCCAAATTTGGCCTTGTTTACCTGCAAGCTAGGAGAAGAACACATCTCTGTGCTTTGCTTTCCTTGACATTATAGTGGATGTGATGACCATGACTGCCTCGTAGCACTCCTGGAGCACTGAGTGATGGAAGATGGGATATGCTCCCAACAAATAGTACCTGCTCTCAGTAAAACTTAGGATTGACTGCACCTGCTTTGAAAGACTCTTCCAACTTGGAAGAATTTGCATGGAAGTGTTTAACTCTCACTTGAGTGTTCAGTATACATTGGGAAGGTAGCTGGTCAGATGAATGATGTTACTTTTTGACTGCTTGGGCATTAATTGAACTTGGAAACCAGAGTAGAGATATGGGCCAGGAACAGGCTGGTCTTTTTCTTTCTTCCAAGAGGATGGGATGTGTTCTGAAGGTTCATGAAGCACTCTGAGAGGGTGAGGTGCTGAGCACTTGAAATGAAAGTCCTACTACCAAGGGCCACCTCGGTCACGAACAGGATTCTTTGATTTCTTCGGTGGTACAAATAAAGAGGATAATATAATAGAACTATAGAATTCTGAAGCTTGTTCCCTGCAACCTACCATTTTTTGAAAAGGAACAAATCCAAGTCTTTACATGCCAAATGGTAATCTCAGATTAAATTGAAGAAGTTTTAAGATGTCAGATCGCCAACAATAGGAGCAAACCTCTGCAAAGTAATATAATAAAGTACAAGAAGATATACTTGGGTCCTTCCTAGGTAGTGAATTCACTTTCTTGCCTGGTATAGAATGTTTTTTTAAAGTTTCATTTCTAATGATTCATGTCCAGTGGACTCTGGCATATAATTTAATTTTATGAAGTTTGAACTTTTTATTAGTGGAAGGGTGGGAGCAGGGTGTGGATTTAATGCTCACCCTAGGAATCATCTCTCTGGTCTGCCCCAGTCCACCTGAAATGATTCAGAATATAGTCATAGTCATCATCATCATCATCATCATCATCATCATAGATGTCCCTCATGGTTCAATGGGGTCCCAAGTGCTGCAAGGGTTCGGAAGTGGTTCCAATTATGGAATCACTCTCTGATTCTACTTTAGAATTTTCACTGTAATGAAACATTTTGTAGTACTGGGGATGAAACACAGAGCCTCATGCATGCTAGGCAAGCATTCTGTCACGTGGCTATGCTCCAGTCTCTAATGAAATATTTCAGTACTGTTGAGGTTTAGTTATATATTGATGGTCAGTATAAATACAGTCGGGTCTTGTTATTTTCTTGACATTTTCATTGACCAACCAGTGCCTAACCTTGTCTGATGTCTGTTTCTCTTTAAAGACACTTTATTTAATATACAGTCACTTCTCTGATTGTGTGATCTACTGATTCAACCAACTTTAAATTAAAAAATGTTTGGAAAAAAATTGTGCCTTTATTGAACATGTACAGACATTTTTCTTGACATTATTACCCAAACAATACAGCATAATAAATATCTTAATAGCATTTATATTGTATTAGGTATTTATTACAAGTAATCTAGAAATGATTTAAAGTATACTGAAAAATATGCATAGATTACATGCAAATACTACATCACTTTATATAAAGGACTTGAGTATCCATGGGTGTTTTTTTTTTTAATCTGCACGGGGTCCTGGAATCCATCCCCTTTTGGATATCAAAAGACAACTCTATATTGTGCATTCGTTGATATTAAATTTAAACCACACTATAACTCGTACCTAAACAAAATTTATCTAACATTTGTACTTTCTCTTAAAGCATTAATTTTGGAGATGAAAATTTTAGTGAGTAGAAAAGTTCACAAACAAAATTCATAAATAATAAGACAGAAAATTCTTGTTGCAAATTAGGAGGCAGAAGGATATACAGGTTAAGAGCAAGAATTTTAGAATTATACTACCTGTGCTCAAATCCTGCTCCACATGCTAAGTGGAAAAATTCTCCTTTGTATATTAGCATTATCATGTCACTCATGTCTGCAACATGTACTGATAAAAATACTACATGAATTGGTGTGGAGTTTGAAAGAGTTAAAACACATAAAATTCTCAGAATAGTGTTTGCCATGTAATAATGTTAACTAGTCTTTCTTACCTCCCTTTCCTGCCTGATATTATTAGGGGCTATAGAGTAAGGGGAATAACTCTGAATTAAAAGGACCTCTAGGATTGTATACTTGAAAAAATAGGAACAATTTCACCATTTTCCATCTGACAAATAAAAATCAAATAAAACTTTGTAGTATTCAGTAAGATGATAATTATGTGTTCCCGTAAGTTTCTAGAAGTTTCTGAGACTACTACTTTCATTTCTGTAATAATTTATTTCCACTGGACTTTGACACATTATACTTTTTATGAAGGTTAATGTTCTGCCCTCTAGGAGAACAGAAAATGGGAATGAGGCGATGTTTATACAACTTGCAGCAATACCCTTTTGGCTCAAAGCCCAAAGTATGATTCACTTTATCATACTTGGCTGTTTAATCTCTAGATAAATATTCAAAAACTCACCTGCCTTACAGTCTGTACCATGTAGCTGAACAACCAGCCCATAAGAGTTCATGCACAGCACAATTTCATTTTCTTAGAAAGTAAATAAATTTCTCTTTTGAAGGTTAAACTTGCAAACAGCTAGGTATGGCAAGAGAGCAGCTGAGAAATGGGAGATAAGAAAAAAATACAAGCAACCTCATTAACAGTGATTTTAAGGATTAATTAGTAATGATGTTGATTTTAAGTGTCCCTTCCCCTAGAAAACAGGGTTCTTATCTAATAAAGTTGAATTCAGAGGGAAGAATAAAATGGTTACCAGAGGCAGAGTGAGAGGGGGGAGAGAGGGAGGGAGGAGTTAATCAAAGGGAATGAAGTTTTGGAAGTTTTAGGTAGCAATATATTTTGAGATCCATTACACAGCAGGCAGACTATGGTCAAGAATAATGTGAATTTCAAAATAACTAAGAGAGTATGAGCTGGGGATATGGCTCAGTGATAGAGAATATACTTAGCAGGCATGAGGTCCTGGGTTCCATTCCCAGCACCAAATAAATAAATAAATAAAAGTTGCCAGTTTTTCCACTAATATAAACACTGAAGCACCAAACATTCTTTCATGATTTTCTTAGGAAAAGTATTTTTAGAAATGAAATTGCTGGATTAAAAGATTGCACTTTGGGGGCTGGAGTTGTAGCTCACTAGTAGAGCACTTGCCTAGCCCAAGTGAGGCACTGGGTTCAATCCTCCGCACCACATAAAAATAAATAAAGTAAAGGCATCATGTCCATATACAAGTTAAAAAAAAATTTAATTGCACTTTTTACAACTGTTAATAAATAGTGCTACATTAGCCTCCAAAGATACTGTACTATTTAAATCTCCCACTAGTGAGAAATCAAAGTGTTCATTTCCCCCTCCTGAGAGAATAAAAAAATCTCAAGTACTTTCCATAAGAAATCACAGTAAAGCAAGGTGATGGATATGCCAATTTATCTGATTTAATCATCTCATGTTGTACACATATATCAAAACACCACAATGTATGCCATAAATATATGTAATTATGATTTTTCAATCAATATAAATAAAACAACTTTTAAAGAAAAATAGGATGTGTGAAGGCATACTGATAATAAAGATGATCATCCTCATGCCCTTTATGAATATCTGAGCTGTCTCCATACATGCCTCAGTCCCTGAGGGAGGATGAGAAGAAAGAGAGCTTTCACATGTTACAAGGATTATGGCAGAAATTTGTTTCAGCTCATGGATGTGAGCTGCAAGAACAGCCACAGATCCCCAGGGAAATAGTAAATAAGGGAGAGCAAATACCTGAATCTGCCCTACTGAATGTAGTCTATTAATGGTGGTTCCCATTACCATTATCAAGGATCTGAGATGGTGTTCAGTAAGAAACAGTGCTATGCGAATGAGTCTTCCATCCATGCGCTGCATTAAGTACCTTTTAAGCATCAATTCATTAATTCCCCATGGTGGACACAGTAGTTAGTATTGCCATTTTATTGATAAAGAAACTTGCATAAAGTTGATCGACAAAGCTGGGTGCTAAGAAATGTCTTTGTGTATCATCAAGGTGTCTTATTGGTCAGAACCCTCTGGCTGGGAGGTCACACATTTGAATACAGTAGTTCCTGGTTAGAGCACTTAGAGTAGCCAGGGGAACTTGAACACTTAGGTAGCATTTCTATGCCTCCATTTCCTAATCCACATAATAAAGGTACCAATAGTTCCCTATAACAGGATTTCTCTGACCTGGACAATACATGGAAAGTGCTTAGCCTGGCACATGGCAGACAGCAAGTGTAGCAAGTGCTTAATAAGGCGTTCGATTTTATTGATGCCATTACAGTCCTTCCAGGGTGCATTGTGGGTGGTGATGCTGACGCTGCATTTCTGGCCCCACCCAAGGAGTCAGCCTCCGAAGTCCCTTGATGGGAAAATGATGAAGGCTCATCTAGAAGGGATGGCACTGACTCATACCAGATAAACTTCAGTCAGACTAAATGAAACTGCCCATTTGGTCCCAGTGATCTGTCTTCATGCAAAATCATCAAGCTATACCCAACAGTACAAAAATCCTCTCCCAAATAACCTAGAAATTTCAGCAGACATATAATCAAATGTGCTTTATTGCAAAAATGGCCAAATCACACTAGCAAAAAAAGAAAATGCAAACAAACAATTCTAAAAAACAAAGCCCATGCACAATCTCTCTCTGCAATAACCACTGTCAACATGTGTGCATGTATAAACTTCCAGGCATCTTCTATGCATATTCATCTAATATACATTCATTTGTCACCAAAAAAAATATGATCATATGGCTTTGTAAGTTATGTCATTTCAGTTGATGGATTGTATTTTTCCTTGGTGGCCTGCCAGCAGCTGTCTTAAGTGTTTGTCAGATTTTCCTGACCCCATTAGGTTGGCATCACTATAACCACTTTACAAATGGGAAAATTAATGTTTTGAGAGCTTAAGTAAACTTGCCAAAGTCCAAAAGCAGCAAAACCAGACTTCATCCTAGATGCCTAAGGCTGTTCTCAAAACCAATGTTACGATTCTACCATAGCATTTGTAGTGGCTGTGTTGGGTATCCTTTGCATACACTGTAACTGAGCCACACTTTATTTGTACAAACCCCAATTATTGTGCATTTAGAATGTTGCCAGTTTTTCCACTATTATAAACACTGTGGCACCAAACATCTTTATACATTCTTTAGTTATTTTCTTAGGAAAAGTGTTTCTAGAGGTGAAATTGCAGGATTAAAAGACTGCACTTTTTCCAGCTATTAATCAATAGTGCTACATTGGCCTCCCAAGATGCTATACTGTTTTAAACTCCCAGTAATGAAAATGAAGGTATTCAGTTCCATCTCCTTCATTGTATAGTCCTTTGACAAATATTTATAAAGTATCTATCCAAGAGAAAGGTAGATCTTTCCATCTTCTACGGTCTTCTTTGATTTCTTTCTTTAGGGTTCTGTAGTTTTCATTGTATAGATATTTCACCTCTTTCGTTAAGTTGATAGTTGATTCCCAGGTTTTGTTTTGTTTTTTTGTTTGTTGTTTGTTGTTTGTTGCTGTTGTTGTTGTTGCTGTTATTTGAGGTTATTGTAAAAGGGTAGTTTTCCTTGTTTCCCTTTCTGAGGATTTGTCACTGATATATAGAAATGACTTTGATTTATGGGTGTTGATATTATATCCTGCTACTTTGCTGAATTCATTTACAGGTTCTAGAAGTTTTCTGGTGGAGCTTTCTGGGTCTTCTAGATATAGAATCATATTGTCCACAAGTAGTGCTAATTTAAGTTCTTCTTTTCCTATACGTATCTCTTTAATTTCTTTTGTCGAATTGCTCTGGCCAGTGTTTCCAGAACTATATTTAATACTTATTTAACATAGAAGTGTTGAAAAAGGGCATCCCTGTCTGTTTTAGTTTTTAAAGGGAATGCCTTCAATTTTTCTCCATTTAGAATGATGTTGGCCTGGGGCTTAGCAAAGATAGCCTTTATGATGTTGAGATATGTTCCTGTTATCCCTAGTTTTTCTAGTGTTTGGAACATGAAAGGGTGCTATATTTTGTCAAATGCTTTTTCTGCATCTATTGAGATGATCATATGATTCTTATCTTTGAGTCTATTGATGTGATTAATTACACTGATTGATTTCCTTATGCTGAACCAACCTTGCATCACTGGGATGAATCCCACTTGATCATGGTGCATGATCTTTTTGATATGTTTTTGTATTTGATTTGCCAGAATTTTATTGAGAATTTTTGCATCTATGTTCATTAGAGATATTGGTCTAAAGTTTTCTTTTCTTTTTTTTTTTTTTGATGTGTTTTTGCCTAGTTTTGGAATCAGGGTGATATTGGCCTCAGAATGAGTTTGGAAGTGCTGCCTTTTTTTCTATTTCAATAAATTGAAGAGTATTGGTATTAGTTCTTCTTTAAAGGTCTTGTAGAACTAGGCTTTATATCCATCCGGTCCTGGGCTTTTCTTGGTTGGAAGGTTTCTGATAGCGTCTTCTATTTCATCACTTGATATTGGTCTGTTTAAATTGTGTATATATCTTCCTGATTCAACCTGGGCAAATCGTATCTATTAATTGACATGTTTATTAATCACTTATTAATTGACAAATACTTACTAAATACCTATTGAATTCAAAACAGTGATTAAGCATAGTATATTTTTGTTCACTGATTTTTTATTATTATAATAGGTGGCAATTTGTTAAGTGTTGATACTCCAATAATCCAAGAAAAGGGCAGATAAATAAATTCTAAAGGAAAGGAAATGGACATCCAGTGAGTTTTAGCAGCATATGCAAATTAGAACAGCAGCACAGAAATTAGAACTTACTCCCCTTAACCCACACACCTGCTCACCTCAAAACACTTTTTATGAGCAAGCCCAAATGGTTCTTCATTCTCTTTTCTGATATCTGGAATCCTCTTCTCATCCCTCTAGCTCCTGGCCAGAAAGAAAGGATCTAGAATCATCATCATCTCTTGTTCTCATAAAATTAAAAACTCCTCTTTGAAAAGAAAATCCACTAAAAAAACTGGCAAAAAATATTTGTAAGTCACATGCAGATATATATATGCAAATACAAATTAATTAGTAAGTGATACAAATATAAAGTTCTAAAAAGATAAACAATCCCATGGTAAAACAAATGGAAATAAACAGGCATTTCAGAGAGAAAGGAAAAAAAAAAAACACTGACGGCCAATCTATATATATATATATATATATATATAAGAAATTAAATCTCATTCATAATTATATTCAAATTAAAATAACAGCAATTATTAAATAATTGAATAGCAAAAAGGAATGAAAAATGAAAAATCACATTTTAAATAAAATTAGCAAGTGTTTAGACAGCATTTATCAATCTTTGGCTTTTTTTTCCCCCTCCTTTGTTTTCTTTCCCTGTCATTCCAGTAACATGGAAGGAAATATTTCCCATTATTTGCTATACTAATTAAACAATTTAATCACCTTTGTCTTAATTCCAGTCAAATGAATAGAATAGTTTATTTTTCTCCTGAGAAACAAAATGAAATCCAGTTCCCATAAGAAAGAGATGTTTTCTTAAAATATAGCTTACCTCTCTGCATACTAGAACAAAATATTTGCAACACATATGATTTGTATCTATATATACACAGGACTGTTGCAAACAACCTTATAAAAAAAAACAGGAAAATATTTGGACAAATATTTGACCAAAAAATGTATACAGACAACAAATAAACATGGTTGATAATGATATGTAACATTATTAACCATTAAGGAAAAGCAAATTAAAACTATAATGAGCTATCACTACATGTCAATGAGGATATCTACAATTAAAGAGACTGACATACTAAGTGTTGGCGAAGATGTGGAGCAACTGGAACTCTTAAACACTGCTAGTAATGTTCAATGGTATGACTACTTTGGAAAACTTATTGGCAGTTTCTTAATTTAAATATATGTTAAAATTGTGGAAAAATAAGTGAGAGACTGGGAGAAAATATTTGCAAACTTTGCATCTGACCAAGGACAAGCAACCCAACCAGAATACATAAAATTCTCAAAATTCATATTTAAGAGAAACAACCAATCCAATTGAAAATAGAACCCCCCCAAAATGGGAATACATATTTCCACTGAAGAGGATAAACAGATGGCACATAAACATATAAATAGATGTTCAAAATCATTAGCCACTAGGGAAATACAAGTCAAAACCATAGTAAGATATCACTATTGGAATAGATAAGATTAAGAAAAAAAGTAACAATAACAAAAGCTGCAAGACTGTGAAGAAATTAGATTACTCACACCTCGCTGGTGGGAACATAAAATGATAGAGCCATTATAGGGCACAGTTTGATAGTTTCTTATAAACAACTAAAGATGTAACTGCCATACAACCCAGAAACCTCATTCTTGGACATCTATCCCAAAGAAATGGAAAATTATATTTACATAAAAATCTACATGCAAATGTTCATAATAGCTTAATTCATAGTAGACAAAACTGGAAGCAATGGCCAAACGAATTGCAGTATTTCATACCATAGGATGCTACTCAGCAATAAAAGGGAATACAGAACCAAATTATGTAATATTTTTGAAGTAGCAAAAGAAGAGATTAGTGGTTTCCAGGGGTCAAGGACAGGGGCAGATGTAGAGAAAAGGAGGTGAATACAGACGTAAACAGGCAACACAAAGGGCCTGTGTTGATGGCAGTATTTTGGGTCTTGACTGAAGTAGTCTATACAGGAACAAGCCCATGTAATAAAATTGCATAGACCAAAATACACACAAACATAGTCAAGGGAGTTCAAATAAAGCTGGAGAAATTTGCACGTGATCAGTGGATTATATTAAACAATATCCCAATGGTAATATTGTACTATAGCTTTGCAAAATGTCATCCCTGAGGGCAGAAGGAAACTCAAGTTCTGAGCTCATTGAGAATCTGCATAAGATCCTAGCCCAGTGCCCGAAGCATCCTGGTCCACATTTTTTCTACCACACTTCATGCAACAGGGGAAAGAATTAGTTTCCCTAGCCCCACACTGTAGCAATGGCCCAGAGATCAGGGAATTATTTAAACCTCCAATATAAAATGAAACAAGATGAAAGAAACTTGATAACCTGATTGATGAGAGTCTGAGAAAAGCTGTTAGGTCAAATTTGATGAGGGTTGCGGGGTAGTTCATTGCATGAACTGTGGACTTTATCTGTTTTCAATCCTCAGCTTGAAGACTCAGTGAGCATGTCCATCTTGTCTGCTCTGGACTGACCATCCCATATCCAGCAAGCAGGAGTAAATAAAGCAGGAGGGCTCCTAACCACAGCCATATTCACCCTCTCAGTTTTACCAGCGAATTCTGCCTTGAGAGTGGGAAAGATCTGACATGTTATGCCTTGGAGAAAGAAGAGGAGAGAAGGAGCATGCCTTCTGAATCAAGTACAAAAACCAGTTTGCAAACTCCTAACAATACATTTTCATAGCTCTGCTGCAGCCCACCTGCTTCAAAAGCCCCATCCTTGACCTCTATAGGTCAGGCACTGCTTTCCTTGAGGAGTGGTGTGGAAACCTCAAGTAGTGTTGATTTTATGATCCAGATGGACTACTCACAGCTGCTTGCATAGGGTTAGTGAGGAGAAAACTGCTAATTGACTACATTAACCCTTTCCTTTTGGAAATACAATCCCAACTTTTAGCAGGGCACATAGCTGCCTATTATATATAGAGAGAGACTCTGTACTTGCAGTTAGGCACAGCCAGGACACTAGTTTCTGACCACTACTTCATGAAAAGGAATGCTGTGTGGGGCTCCTCAAAAGAAGGTTGTAGAAAAAAACATGGCTGAGAGGGGCCTGTTCATCCCTCCTTTCTGTTGCCTTGAAAGTGAACGTCCTGGTTATAACTCCTTTAGCTATCTAGGCCTAGATGATGAGGGCACTACCTGCTGAAGGTGATGAAGCCGAAGATTATAGCCTGGCATCCTGATGCCCATGAACCACACTTCTGAATACTTTTATGTGCCAGAGAAATAAACTTCAATGTTCTGTAGGTCACGGTTCTTTGGAGGGTTTCCATTGGTGCAGCTGATTCTAACCTTAGAGTAGTTATTCTTCTTGTCTGTTCCCATAACACTTCAGGGTCATTCTGTTGGGATTGTCTCCCTGTATTCACAATTGTCCTCTTGTAACTTCTGCCTAGCACAAAGCAGGTACCTGTTGAATGTTTTTGAATATGTGAAAGAAACAATTTCCACGGTAACATTTACAAGCTGGCTGGAGTTGGAATGCCCTACATGCTTTGCTCCAGGGATAACTCTTGCTCCTCTACAGATGATTCATGGTGACTGGCTCCAGGGTTTTCTTTGCTGTCAAACTCTACGAGCTGGGACCAGAAACATGGGTGTAAGACAGCCATTGTTGACTGCCCTCCCACCCACTCATGATCCTCCCCTTCACTCACCGATGACAAAATCAAGACTTCGTTGAGGCAAAGTGCAGTGTTACATTTCTGACCTCTCAAACCCCAACCAAAAGTCTAGAAAAAGAAAGAGAAGGGAAAAAAAAGAAAACCAGTCCTAATTTTCCCTTTATTCCTTATAAGTCAATATTTATTTAAAATATCCAAACACTGTTTTATTTTTTTCTCTCTCAGATTTCTACCTCTTTAGTAGTCCTCCATTTTACCCTATCAGCAGCACATCTAACATTTCCTCTCTTACTCCCGTCCCTTTTTTCTATAAATGGATTAATTTAATGTAAATATTTTAGGATCATCCAATAAATGGTGAACACTGTGCAAGTTCTAGGAGTATGAAAATTAGAATGGGATTGCAAGTTGGGCTTCTCCATGAGATGTAAACAGACAAAATACAATTTGAACAGTCACAACGCAGTGGTCAGCCAGATAAGGTCATCACCTTGAAGAAAGACACCCAAATTCTGCCAAAGTTGGGAGAGGCTTCATAGAGATCATAGAGGTTTAGCTGACCTTTGAAGGACAAGCAAGACTTCAGGATGAGGAGAGAGGGCAAGTATTTTGTGCAAATATAAGGAGGATCTGGGATTTGTGGCAAATAAGACAAATTGTGCCTTGGGAGGATGGTCAGAGTTGAGGTTGGATCAATGGGCAAGGACCAGGTCAGGAAGGACCCAGAAATCATTGTGTCCCAGTTTGTACTTTCATCTGTAAGCAGAGGAGAGACATGGAGGGGATTTGCACAGTGCAATACAGCAACGCCCTGCTCTAGAGAGATCACCCTGGCAGGAGCACAGAAGACGCACAGGGGTGAGGTGAAAGCAGGCAGCCATTGCAAGAGAACCATGTATGGGTGGGGTTGTAGAGGTCTCTATTTGAGAGATAGCAAGGCCCAGAGAACAACGAACTTAGCACCCACTGAGTGTAGGGGGATAGTTTGAAATTTAGGACAAGGTATATGGCTGGTAAGATGAAAATACCCTATTTTTTTTTTCACTTTGATATTATCTCTCTTGGGAGAAAGGCTACCTGGGCAACTCTCACAGAAGCTAAGATAGCAGAGATGCTGGCCCTTCATTTGACATTGCTCAGTCCTCCTCCTGTCCCTCCCAACTTTATGTGGACCTGTATTGACTCCCATTCCCCTCCATGCTTGGCTTTGACACCCGGACCATCCTCATCTCTCATTGTCAGTAGCTTTTATTTTCAGATGATGACCCATGGCAGACAATGGATCATGGCCATCACATTGAACATCTCTGAAGCGGAGAGTTGGGCACTTGCCTCTGTACCAGCAGATGGCCTAAAACACAGCGGTCAACACTCTGAATATGAGTGGAGACCCCAGATGGACACTGAGAAGACAGGATTGGAAATGCATCACTCTCACGAGCTAGAGGAGCACAGGGCCTGGAACATTACTGCTGCAAAGATAAGCCCAGAAAGTGCTGAGTGGGGGTCT